CCTTCTCCTCTCTGTCAACGCTCTCTGGTTTCATTTAAAAGAGYCGATCATCAGATATTGTCCAAGATTAACCTTCAGGGTGGATATAGCTCGCTAGCAGCCTGGCACCGATGACCTAGTTGACGTCATCATTTACCCAGAATGCTTTGCGTGCAAATAAAATGGCTCCGTCCGTGTTAAAATATATTTTAAAAAATTTACAAAACTAAACAACCTACAGTATTTTTACAGTCTTTATTTTACAGCTAMAATAAATGTTTATCAAATAAAGTTTAATGTTTTAACTAATCGTGGCTCCCTTTAAGCTTATACAAAAAAAAAACTTCATCAAAATATTGTCTAAGTTAAAAATCCAAAGGATTTCCAATATCTAGTGCAAAAATTCCAATGTGTTCTCATCTACATATGATTGTTTATAGGTTGACTGTGAGAAGAAGCTGTGGTTTCCACCTGATTGATTTAAAAAGGATCCATCAGCTGAACAGAACTCAGGTTCATCAGAAATCCGGCCTCTGGTGGCCTGTCGGCTCTGCAGGTCAGCTCTGACATGTAATATGCAGAAGCAGCTGTGATAATGGGGATTTACATGGACAAAACAAAAGTATGCTCATATAATAAACATATTTTCTGCCTGCTGTGTAATCTGGTAAAAAAAAAACTGTCGTGGAGGTGAAAGGGTCGGGTCAGAACAACAGCCATTTCATTACTGTGGCTCAAATGTCCCAGGATTCAATTGAATCACAGGGCGATTATTCTTCCTCAGATTCCACTCTGCGGGGGATTGGCTGTCGTTTGTCGCTGACCCYTTCACGCGCCGACCATTTATCCCCCCGAATAATTGTTCAGACGGTTTGGTGGTCATATCCCTGAGTGCTGCGGGTGGGGGGCTCAGAGCGTGGCGAGCCGTCACCGATCATCTTGTTATCTCCTGCAGCTGAGATGGACCAAGCTGCAAACACTTCTGCTACAGCTCGCCAAAATAAAAGTCCAAATGGTTTTTAAAAGCGCAGAGGGAGTTTCGTCAATCGATTCATAATATTTTAGACAAATGGCACAAATATTTGTACTTATTTGGTTAAAGAATGGAGGGGTTTTCATTTTTATTTAAAAATTTTCTTTTACTTGTGTAAAACTAAAATTAAATCAAAAAGAAAAAAATTGTATAGGTCTTCTGGACGGGTTCTTCTCTAATGAAACGTTTCGTCTCTCTTCCAAGAGACTTCTTCAGTCTGAGAG